AATTTACGACAAAATTTACGACAAACTACGACAAAAATTACGACAAACTACGACAAAAATTACGACAAAGTTTTGTCGTTAATCAATCACGAAATGTTTTCAGAGCAATAAACTATAAATATTATTTTTTGAGGGAAACGCTCGGTATGACCTAACCTCAAACTCATTTACCCCCAATACTATCCCCGACTTCTCTCTCCTTAGCCTGCATACTTTCCGGACAACGTGCCCAGCTCGCGGACTGGACCTCTTTTGGCACGTGCCAAATTTGAAAAGGCGTCAGATCTAGGTCATTTTTTTTCATTTTCACAGTTTTTGTGACAATGGAATGATATTGCAACGCTCGCTACGGAAATGAAGCTAGAGTGGGGACGATCCTGAGCTGAAGAAGACGTATATTTATTCTATTGTGCAGGGTGGAGAGGGCTCACCTTATTGGCACTTTCCCAATTTGGAGAGGTGTCAGATCGTTTGCATTTCTTTTCATTTTCACAGTTTTGACGACAATGGAATTATATTGCAACGCTCGCGACGGAAATGAAGCTAGAGTCGACCCGGAACTGAAGAATACGGATGTATGTTCTTCTGTGCAGGGTGGCGAGGGTTCACCATGTTATGCTGCTGCGTCCGGTCAAGAGGAATCTATGACGGCCACGGGAGGTAACAAATTGTTCTACACCGAAGCGGAGGACGATAATGCCAGTTCTGACGGCAATGATGCTCAAGATGTTTTCTATTTATCAGCTTCGCTTGTATTATTGATGGACATACGGTCTGTGTGCACAATGGTTTTCAATTTGTGATTTTGTATGTTTGCGTTGCAAGACAATTCTTCGTTGTTGTTGCAGTCGCTTGGGTTAGTGACCAGCAGCGAAAATATGACCAATGCTTCCTACTCTGTCCACTTCTATTGCTTGTCGACTAACAAATGCAAGATTGTATGAGATGTTCCCTTCCGCTAGAAGGAAGCTCCTATGTTAAATTTTAAAAGAAATATAATCTATGGTTTTGCAGTTCGAATTTCGCAATAGTGTTTTCTCTCGTATGGTTTTGAAGTTGGACCATAGCAAAGACTGATATACTGGTGTAGAATTAGATGAGACCGTTGTATCTCGTACGGTTTTGAAGTTTGGCCAAAGCCAACACTGATGTGCTAATGTAGAATTTGATGCCAAGAAGCAACCAGCAAGGAAAAGTGCGGTACACTACAGGACGGACATATGTGTGTACCTTCACATGCATATCTGTCGTCGGTTTAACGTTATTCAACGGACAATAGTTAATGAATCCGTTCAATGCACGTGGAGTCATTTGAGTGCGCATGTTAGCCGATCTCCTCTGTTTGAAAATAATTGGGACCTGTGGCAGTGAGTCAATTGTCGCTACGACACAGTTTCAACGGATAACTCATTTAACGAATCCTTTAGATGCACGTGGAGTCATCTTTTTGCGCCTGTCAGCCTACTTTCGATTCTGTTGTTCGCACATGCCAGTCGGCCGTTTATCAAGCTAACGGTGTTTTTAGTTTGAAAATAATTGGGACCTGTGGCAGTGAGTCAATTGTCGCTACGACACATTTTCAACGGATAACTCATTTAATGAATCCTTTAGATGCACGTGGAGTCATCTTTTTGCGCCTGTCAGCCTACTTTCGACTCCGTTGTTCGCACATGCCAGTCGGCCGTTACTTGAGCTAACGGTATTTTTAGTTCGAAAATAATTGGGACCTGTGGCAGTGAGTCAATTGTCGCTACGACACATTTTCAACGGATAACTCATTTAATGAATCCTTTAGATGCACGTGGAGTCATCTTTTTGCGCCTGTCAGCCTACTTTCGACTCCGTTGTTCGCACATGCCAGTCGGCCGTTACTTGAGCTAACGGTATTTTTAGTTCGAAAATAATTGGGACCTGTGGCAGTGAGTCAATTGTCGCTACGACATCATACCAACGGAAACATTCCATTCGTGTCTTGCCAGGAAGACGGACCAGTAAGGTGGGCGGTGTATGTGTCTTGCCGGGAAGACACACTGTCAGACAGTATAGTGCGGTGGGGTATCGTTGCCGCATGGGGATTGCGTCGGTCGTTTTGAACAATTATAAAATTGAATAACATATGCTGTATAACATGGACATGGTTTGATGTGCGTCTCTGAAATAATATACTTGAACAACATATTTGAACCATACATAACATGGCCATGGTTTGATGTGTGTCTTTGAAATATGGCGTCTTGCCAGGAAGACAGGCCAATGTCTCGCCAGTTGTGATGTCTGTACCTCAACGGAGGAGCCTGTCTTGCGAGGAAGACAGACCAAAGTTTCGCAAATAGTCATGTCTGTACCTCAACGGATGACCATGTCTTGCAAGGAAGACAGACCAAAGTTTCAGTAATTGTCGTCTGTATGTTGACGGTGACTGGTGTGGATGTGGACAGTGTCTTGCCGGGAAGACGGGCAAGTTGCCCTAGTTCTCGTGTCTGTACGTCGTCAGTAAAGAACACGTGCCCTGATCTCAAGGCACGTGTCGGGAAAATTGGAGGGAAAATAGTGGCACGTGCCACTGAACTGGTTTTCCCTCCAAAATAAATTGGGGGATGATTTGTGATTGCTGTGCTTCCTGGTACATTGTACACAGAGCTCAGGTCACAGCGAGGGCAACCCAATAGTTAGGATCCCCTTAAATGATGGGATTTCCAAGGAATTGTTGAGCTAGAATTTGATAACCCCGTGCTGCAGGGGTGCAAAAATTCTTCCCGCGTCCCACCGGAAATGTTTTTCACACCAAACCGAGGGGTATCCCTGTAACACCTCCAATTCTTCCAACGTGGAATATCCCATGCAATGATGTTGGAAACCATATTGATGTGCCAATGCACCTTCGCTTCCTAGCATTCAGAAGTCCGTGACCAGAGACCTCTTAGCCTCATGGCTCAAGGGGAAGAAAAGATGCACAGCCTTCAATACCCTTTCCACTCCATTCTTGTCGCGTGTTGCCAATCTCAAATTGTATTGGTGTCATGCCAAGGTTTCCCATGGGTCATTCGTTTCCGAAAACTGGCTTGCATATGCCAGAATATCCAAGTGGATCCGAAGCAGAAGACACAAGATGCACGGACCAAGACATCGATTTTCTTTCTTACAATCTGACACAGAAAAGAAACTGGCTTCTTCACCGGAAAATCAGTGGCATCAAGAAAGATTCTCCATGTAACCTTGTTGAAGGAATCTTTGATGCAATTACGTCATCGGAGGATATTCCGCCAATCGTAGAAGACCTTTTCTTGGAAGCGAATCTTTGCCAGGTGAAAGACGTTGTGATTGGCTGGCATGCATGCATTAGCCAAATCATGTCAATCACAGAGAACCCAACCGACACTGTAATCGACGATCTCAAAAGGCACGTCAAGATCTTCCTATCCTGCATTCAATTTTTTGACGCATCAAGGCAGCAGAAATTGGGAGAGAACGGAAAGGACCGAATCCCAAAGTGGAGAACAACCTTGGTCTGAACTATCCGGATCTTGTGAGAGAACACGGTCCGCTTCGGCCTCTTTCAGAACTAGATTTCAAGGGTGAGGCTTTGATTCAGCTCCTGGAGAAGAAATTTTCATCGGGAACCCGTGAAGAGAACTGGGCCTATAATGCGTACTACAAGGATAAATTGTACAGGAATGTCTTGAGAGACGCAAAACAATCTTTCCTTTCAAGCATTAATGAGGAATTGTCGTCTTCTGAACCAGCAACATTGAAGATTCTCCAGGCTATAGACCACAAGATCAAAGAGGGCGCCACAAAGGGCGGCAAAACAAGGATTGAAGATGAGATGATTTGTAACACAAACTCAAACTTTGTAAGATACAAGGATATTGAGACAGCACACAGGCACTTGTCCACAAGAAACAATCTTATCACAGGTATTGTTGTGGAGAACGCACGATACTTTGTTTTAGTTGGACTAAATTGGGAGGAGGAAAGATACTATCAGATTGAGCCCGATATGTATCATCTTAGTTTGTGTGGGGCCGATTACTTCACATGGCGGATCTGCTCCGACAATGAGGTCAAAAACAATCTGGAAAAGATCAGGGTGCCAAAATCGACACATTACTTCTTGATGCTGCCTCTACTAGATGACATATCAAATAAAGGTGACCGTGCTATAGGATGCGAGATGCGCCGTACTGATACGAACGTGTACGATTGCAAGCGGTCTGTGAGTAGTAAGGATAAATCGGCTGCTTACGAAAGCTGTCGATGAACGATGAACACACTCTTTCTAAGAATACGTTTGATTACAATACTGTCTACCGTCTACCATAGCTACTACTTCGTAAGTCAACAACATCGTAACGCAGTGACGATTATATTTACTTGGTTTATCAGATCCAGCAATAACTGCCGAAAGTTATTCAACGAACAAAAATGAAAATGAACATAAAGATGCAAATGAAAATAAAAATGAAAATACAACGACCACGAAACGGCATCGAGCGTACTACGAACGCTATGATGGGTGACACAACACCAATGGCAAATGTTATAATGAATGGGTGCCGCAACACCGACGAAAACTGCAACCACT